GGCGTGGTGGTACACACCTATAGTCCCAGCTACTCAAGAAGCTGAGGCGGGAGGATCACTCAAGCCTAGTAATCTGAGATTGCAATGAACTATGATGATGCCACTGTACTCTTCCCAAGGCAACAAAATGAGAGGGAAGGCAGGAAGGGAAGGAGGGAGGGAGGGAGGAAGGAAATTGTCCATTAAATGGATTATTTCAAATTTATGGATATTAAGTTGGTTATGGTATTTTATTCTTGTTTAAAAATATCTACTGTATCTGTGTTTTTGTCCTCTTTTTGATCTTTAATATTAGTTATCTGTACCTTCTCTTTTTTCTCTTGCTTAATTTGGCCAGATATTTTAAAATTTTATTAGGATTGTTAATCCTCTCTATTCAATTTTATTAGTTTCTACTAGTTTCCTTTCTTTTTCTTTGAAGGGTGCAGTCACCAAGATGGGATTAAAAGTATACAGATTGTATTAGAACAAACCCCTGTGAGAGAAAATGGGGCCGGACAGAATCAGGGAAGGCTGGGAGAGCCATCAGAGAGCAACCAGATCTGACCTCATGTGAAAAAGAGAGGGAAAGGAGCTTGGGCAGTAAGAGTTCCCATTTCATATCTTCTTGTGACTTCTACTTCCTTCTTCCTAAAGTACATCTTTTGTTGTTCATTTAGCAAGCGTGTATGAGGGGTAAATTACCTCAATCTTTGTCCAGAATTATGTTTATTTAACCCTAACATTAAAATGATAGTTTATGTTGACATAAAATTCCATATTGCAGTTATTTTCCTTTGTGATGTTTTGAAGATAATATCCACCACCTTCTTGCCGCTTTTACTGCCAGTAAGAATTTTTTTTTTTTTTTTGAGACAGAGTCTCACTTGTTGCCCAGGCTAGAGTGAGTGCCATGGCGTCAGCCTGGCTCACAGCAACCTCAAACTCCTGGGTTCAGCGATCCTACTGCCTCAGCCTCCCGAGTAGCTGGGACTACAGGTATGTGCCACCATGCCCGGCTAATTTTTTGTATATATATATATTTTTTAGTTGGTCAATTAATTTCTTTCTATTTTTGGTAGAGACGGGGTCTCGCTCAGGCTGGTTTCAAACTCCTGACCTTGAGCAATCCACCCGCCTTGGCCTCCCAAAGTGCTAGGATTACAGGCGTGAGCCACCACGCCCGGCCCAGTAAGAATTTTTTTAGTGCAATTTATATATCTTTTTTTTCCCCCTCTAGCTGCCTTTAAGTTCTTCTTTGTCTTTGTTGTTCTGCAGTTTCACTATAATGTGTCTTGGTATAGACTTATTTTTATATTCCTAGATTGAGTTTTGTGCTTCCTGAATCAGAGAATTTATAGCATTCATCGTTAGTTATTTTCTCTTTGAATATTATTTATCCCTTCATTCTCTTTAGTCTTCATTTTAGAACAGCTGTCAGATGCATGTTAAATCTTCTCCATTTACCTCTGTTTTATATTCTCTAGATGTTTATCTTTCTGTGCTGCAGTCTGGCTAATTTCCTCTTATCCATCTTCCAGTTTTAGAAAATTCTTTCACTGTGTTGGATAAATTATTTAACAGATTTTCAAAAATTTAATGACTGTACTTTTTATTTCTGGAAATTCTATTCATTCCTTTTCCTAACTTATTTGGTTTTTTAAATGTAGTTTATTCTCTTATGTTTCAATTCCTTCTTTGATGTTTTCCACAGTCAGCACAATGTCATTTCAAAATGTTATTGCCCTGTTTTCCAGTTCCCATTTCATTCCTAATCCTAGAGATTTTTTTTTTTTAAAGTAAGCATTCAACTATGTGTTAAAAAATTTGTTTCGGTCATACTTTATCTGTTATCTAGATGTTTTTAGCTGGAAGGTTTTCAGGATTCTCTTACCATTTTTAAAAATTTCAATACTAAAAAAATGTTTAATACTAAAACCCAAAATTTTATCCTGAATTAGGACTAGGTCTGTGTGGGCATGCCCATAGCTTTTAGGCTACCTACTATTTACTTCCCAAGGTAAGCAACCATCTCCTAGAATGGGAAAACTGTTATTTCCTTGTTGCTATTCAGTAAATACCAGATGAAAACAATTCTTACATACCTTAATATAGGTTCTATTCCCACTGTTTAGAGTAGACTCTATAATCCTCCCATCCCAGGATATGAAAGCCATCGTTCTGTAAATTGAAAGTTTTCATTCTCCATTCCCCAAAAGAAAACTGAAGAGTAAAAGAAAACGTGAGTTTTTCTTTTTTAACTAAGGAAAACTTTTATTTAAACTGTGCAATCAGTATTTAGACAGCAGTTTCATAAACATTTTGGCATTTAAACTTTTATTCATTTTTGGCATGACCTGTAGGGTAGTATATAAACTACCCTGGGGAGGGGGGAAATACTAAGCAATATTTACTATGATGCTAGAAAAAGAAAACAAACCCACATTATTAAACAAAATATGTTTTAAGAAGACATTAAAAAGGTACATTCAAAATCAAGGCAAACATTTGCTTTCTTTATGCAATGGAGAAAACAGAGCTGATCCCCTGAGTCAAGTGTAAAATTAACATAGCTCAGCTCTATAGTCCATTAGCAAGTCTGCAAATGCTGCCCTTACAAGAAAATGGTATATGGAGTGAAAGGATCCAGAACACCCACATATAAAATAATTTAACTGGCTCCCACACTTTCATTTAATTCACATCTTTGAAGAAAATAGAAAAAAAAAATCATACACATAGACATCAAATTTTGCCCAACAACAGCAAAAAACAGACATTTTCTTAATATATGTTCTCTATTCTACTGATAGGCTAAGGCAATGTGTGTGTATTCAGGCTTTGCAATTTTCTATTAACAGGCTCAATTTGCTAATTATCAGAATAACTTTATTTTTTTTTATTTTTATTTTTTTTCTTTTTTTTTGCTGATCCTACTGATTAGACAGAATAACTTTAATTTGCAAACAAAACAGGTAGGTACCCAGAATGTGGTAAAAGAAAGCAGAATATTTTAAGGTAAAGATTTATAATACTTCTGTTGCTGCTTTTAAAAACGGTTCCATAAGAAAAATAAACTTCTGTAACATAAATTTTAAAAAATACAGTTTATAAGTAAAGACTGTGTCTATATACCATGAACTACTTACAACATATAAATTTAAGTAAACCTGCAAAGCTGTTCAAAATCTTATGTGGATGATGCAAGAAGAAGTTAGGAAAAATGTTTCCTTTCTCTTAAAAAAGGACGACAATCATATAATTCTTCCCAACAAGCCTTAAATGTGGACTTGAATAAACCAGAATTAGGTGCCAGTATGTGTTGTCCTATATAAAATTTTGAATAGTATGCAGAAATGTTAAAATGCTCCATAATCTTGAAAAAGTAGATCTGTTAGAGAAGAATCCTGAACATGTTCTTTTTTCCTCACTTATCTACCTTTCTAGAGATACCTGACTATCTCCTTTAACTCTTTAAAAGCCAAGATATTAAAAAAAAATAATTGTTTAAATTGGGATAAGATTATTTCAAATTTAGTACTTTCAAAAGTACAGTCAATTCCCATTTCCTCTTACGGATTTACCCACCTTACAGATGAGTGTTTAAATTCTAGCTATATCTTTTACCAAACAATTTCTTCTATTGGGTTTTTTTTTTTGTGTGTGGAGTTTGTTTTTGTGCATGTAGAGGAGATACAAACATTTTTCACTGAAGCACAGGCAAAATATAATTAGAAAGGCTGATCTGTAAAGAAAAATCTGTAAGAGGTTTCACTGCCTCATAGAAATGACTTTTGGATTATAATTATTTACACTTGAATTTTCTTTTAAGTTTTCAAAGAACTATTGTTTCATTCTGCACAACAAATTATTCTCATTTCATGGATAGAGAAGGAGCAGAAATAGGTTAATAACCTTCCTACCAAACAATTCTCAAAATTGTGAGGACCAGAACTTAGGTGCTCCACAGCCTAACCTTATACTTGTTCTATTATATGATTCACTCTCAACTATGATCTCTTCTAAATTAGTGTAAATAATCAATTAGTTAACATTCATATAAAAACTATTGATTCTTTAGATCTAGCAAGAAAGGGTTACTGGTTACATACTTTGCTTTTTCCAGTTAATAAATTCCTATTTATATATGCCAACTATAAAAATTTTTAAAAAATCCAATTTTGAAGATTTAGTCTAATAAGGAAATCCTTAACTAGACAAGGAACCAGTCCTACCTTATGTCTAATACAACTCAAGGCACAAACATCGGTCTTCAGACACAATTTTAGCTGAAAGAAATGGGAGGTTTTGAAGGAGGAAAGAGAGTGGTTAGGAGATGATGAGGAATGGGTTACAATTCAGCACCTCCCAAATTCTTCCTGTGAATGGATATAACTAAGATAGACTTCTCCTGGGTGGTTGGTTATTACTCTGTAGACAGATTGTGTTTGACACAATTTAGCCTTTCTGAGTACAAAAAACAAAAATTATACCTGATCCCATGGTGGAAGGCACTATGAGCCTGGGTGATTTCATTTTCTTAGCTGAGACAATGTATCATAGTGGAAATCCTATAAACCCATGTTGGAGTTGGACCAACTTGGGTTTGTATCTTGGCTAAGCCACTTACTAGCTGTGATCTTTGGCAAGAGATCAGGAACCTTAGTTTCCTGGTTTCTAAAATGGGGATAATACTCGCTTTACAGAATGTAAAGATTGCAGAGATGAAACATGTGATTGGTATATTGCAGACATTCAGTAAATGGCATAATTCCTTCCTGGAGACTAGAGTCAGGAGAAGTAAAGTGACTAGCCTTCTTATCCTTACTCAGGATATCATCCTGGCCGTCACTCCATGATGGAGACAGCTTTATCTCTTTGAAGAAATTCCTGAAGCAGGAGGATTGCTTGAGCTCAGGAGTTCTAGACCAGCCTGAGCAAGAGCCAGACCCTGTCTCTACTAAAAGCAGAAGAATGATCCAGGCATCATGGCACACACCTGTAGTCCTAGCTACCTGGGAGGCTGAGGGCAGGAGGATCACTTCAGCCCAGGAGTTTGAGGTTGCAGTGAGCTAGGCTGACACCACTGCATTCTGATCCAGAAATTCAAACAAACAGCAGCTTTGGGATCTAAAGCTTTCTAGGACAAGGAACAACTAAAATCAAAGAAGAAGAAAAATGACAAGATAAAATTTCCTAGGAGATGTATGTGCTGATGAGATGAGTAGAGGCTCTTGCTGAGGACGATGGAAAATCTAGGGGTTACCAAAACTGGAAACCAAACATTCAGTGGCTTGGTGAAGCTGAAGAGATTAAACCAGATTTAAAAGCTGGAAGGTTACCTGTTGCAAATGTGTTTTAAAAGAAAACAAAACATAAACCTGAGCAGGGTCCTGCTTATCTACTCTGAGTAGTCCCTATGTTTTGAGGTCTTCCCCAAGCTTTCCCCAGCAACATAATCACTGGAGAGAAACGAAGGTTAACTACAGTAAGAACAGTTTTCAAAAATTTCTGATGAAATTCCATAAAGTCAGAGGCAAATATTTAGGAAACTTTGTTAAACCAAGAACTGAAATGTTATTCTATGAGGCACATATTCAGAAAGTTTAAAGCTGAATTGTTTTTCCAAGTGTTTTAGAGAGAAAGTTTAATGTATAGTTTTTCTAGGCTCTAAGTCAAAGTTTTCATGGCTTTGAAATTTTAAAGATCCCCAAGGGGCATATAACCTCAGATTTCCAATCTCTTTAATGCTATAGACATTTTATAAGGATCAGAATTCCATAAAAATAATCTATTTGTGGTAGGCACAATAATTCGGCCACCCACGGAAGTCCATGCCCAAATCCCTGGGAACTGTGAATACGTTACCATACATGGCAAAAGGGACTCTGCAGATGTGATTAAATTAAGGAACTCGAGATAGGGAGATTATCCTGGATTATCTAGGTAGGCCCAATGTAATTACAGGGGTCCTTAAGACTGGAGAACCTTTATCAGTTGGGGGCAGAGAAAGAGAAATGTTAACGGGAGCGGTATCAGAGGGAAACTACATGGTGGGCTTTGAAGATGGAGGGAGGGGTTCACAGTCTTTAAAAGGTGGAAAAGACAAGGAAATCGATTTCCCCCTAAAGCCTCCAGAAGCAACACAGCCCTGTAAACCCTGATTTTTATCCCAGTGAGACCTGTGTTGGACTTCTGATCTACAGAAGTCTAAGATGATAAACTTGTGTTGCTTTAAGCCACTAAATTTGTGGTAATTTGTCACAGTAGCAATAGGTACATAATTCAGTATCTGGTGAAAATACAAGACTGTCATGTTAACCTGAAACACCTTCAAAGGCTTTAATAGGGAAACTGGGAAAGATTAAAGCCTGCAAACATACACATTGCATTAGCCTGTGGTCTTACGTCCTGAGAGTAAATCAACTTAACACAGAATTCTGTAGTTACATTCTTCTAAACATCAATAAGATTACAGTTAGACAAATAGCTGTGTATGGTGGTTTCCAGAACCCGCTACTCTGTGCTCACAGACCACAAAAATTATTCTGACTATTAAACCAAAGCAATTTTATCAGAGACTTGTGTGGCAAATTGTCAGGAACAAAGCCTGCACAACGCACATAGAGTCTTAGAAAGATCATGACCCTTTCAATATAATTGGAACCTTTTTTTTTTTTTTTTTACATTCAGTATCGAAAATATACATTCAATGAAATATAAATGTATTATGAATGAATCGCTGTAGCCACTTGCTGAAGTGAAAACCACATTTGGGTATTCTTGCATTAAAAAAAATGATACCTTCAATTCCATCTTTGTGTGACAGTCTGAAATTGTTTCTAAAAGTGACTTCCTGTGGACTTGAACAATGATTCTGGGTTGTCAACCCTGAGTTAAGTTTCAGGCAAAAGTCCTTAACAAAGCCAAGACAAACTTATGCAAATCACTGTCATTGGTCCCAATGTTGGCATTACTCTTGTTTAAAGCAAAGGTCTAATTTCCTTGGTATGGCAAAGCTGACTTTTTAAAGTCATTTAGTGGACAAAATGGTGTTTTTGTTTTTAGGCTAATCAAAATCTAAAACCCTAGATTTCATGACAAAGATTTTTCCTTTATCCAAGATTCCACTGAAGTTTGAAAACTGGGCTCCTTTGATGCAATAAAAATATTTCAATTTAACAACTTTAGATTTCAACGGCTTTAAACAGCACACCTGTCAAAGCACAGCCCACTTAAACAGTGACATGATTTGTTTGCCTTTTACATCCTCAGAGATGAGAACAACCCTATTATTCAGGGATTGCCTCAAGCCATCTGAGTTAACCAGGTAATGCTTTAAACAGAAAGAGAAATATACAGGCTAATTCAGAGGTTACCATAATACTCTGCAATGGAAAAGCCTGCTGATATTTCTGTTGACATCTCACACTCAAGGTGCTTAGGAAAGTATCACATCGTTTGGCAAAAACATCCTGTGGCTGAATCAGCAGATTTAATGGAAAGTCCCTATGCATGCTATTTGTATACAGACTGGGTTCTGGAGAGACATGTTTGGTTAACATAAAAACAAGAAACGATAGTTTAATGTACAACTAAATTTGCCTATATGTGGAGGTAACCTTAAATATCTTTGGTTTTTTTCTTTTTAATTTGCTGATAAAAAGTACTTGAATAAAAACACTGATAAATACCAATATAATTGTATTGCTTTTAATTATGTAAACTTAGCCCTTCAATATCTTTTGCTACTAACACTAGATCCCCTATCAGCCTCTAAATAAATTCATTTCAAATCTGCTCATCTTTACTTACGTACAGGCTAACCTATATATTTTAATGGTCTTTGGTATGAAAATACTGATGAGCAGTATCTTGTAATATTTGGCATAAAAATGACATGCATGTATAAGTACTTACAGCAAATGAATCTTTGGAAAAGAAAATAGTTACCATTGCATATTAGCCCCTTTGGAGTGAAATACCAAGAGATGAGTGAAAAACCTTCACATTTTAGTTACAATTTCATACTTAAGACTTCAAAGAAGCTTGTTTGGTCAAGTAAAAAGAAGTCTTTGCTGTACACTAAATATCTTATTTAATGAGACCAAAGTAGTTATTTTTGGTGAAAAGATTTTTTCTCTCCAACAAGTAGTTTCAACAATTTAAAAATACTTTTCTCTAATACTGTATAGTTGAAGATTTACTTGCTGAAGAAAAAAATCATACTTGAAATTCTTTGGAACTATCTGCTGGTAAAGAAAGTATTACAGTTTATTATAAATGCTCTGGTAACAATAAGGTAGTTAACATTACTAGTCTATTTAACTACAATAACCAATATAAACCCTATTGTTCTGGGTTAGTAACTACTCGTATAAACTTCGTATCTATAGATGTTCCTACTTAATTCAATTTGGGGGGAATTATAATCAAAATTTCACTTTCTACTGAAAATTCTTTGGTAATAGGATTATTATGGGGAAAAAGTCTATATAAAGAACAAAATGAAGAGGTAAAAATGTACTGGTAAATAATTAGCAAATAGTTATAGCCTAAAGACCTATATTAACTATGGGCCTATTCCTCAAAAACTGAATAAAACACTTTCCTCAAAGACTTCAGATCACCTTTTTTAATCATTTAAAACTATTCAAATTCATACAGTCCTAAATACATCTTCCATAGCCATGATGGAGGATGTTTCAGCTTTAGATTTTGTTTATGTTTTAATGGAAGCTTAAAAAATAAAATGATCTCATTGTACTCCTTAATTTTAGATACTGATAAAAGTTGGCCCTACATACTTCTACTTACAAACCAAAAAAACGCCATACCCTGTCAATTTGCCCATGGTTCCATGAGGCAGCTCAAAAGTAACAAAATGTTCCCTGAGTACAGGAAAAAAAATAACACTAGAATAACTTTAAAAGGAGGTAGTATAAAACAGGAGCTATAAAGGCAGGGAGCAGCATTTTTCCTTGCTGCATATCGTTCACCTAAAGCTCTGCTTGTTTTGTATCGCCATGAATTCCATACGTAGAGGATTAACCGGGGGACTTTTAATTTAGTTCAGAAGTGGTTGCTGGCACTTAATGTTGATCTGCTTCTGAACACATCCAGTTTGGCACAAAACCACAGACTAAAAAAAAGTTTAACAATTTATATAACATGTTATATCACCAGTCATGGGGCTACCAGATGATACTGGGACTAGTAGCCAGTAATATTCCTTTGATTTGAGAACACCATTTAACATGACCCTGGCCCCTTTATAAACAAAATGTTTCAAAGGGAAACCCATTAAGATTCCTTTTAAAATAAGATTCAAAAGTCATTTCCAGAAAATTTGAAAAAATACTTTGAAAAGGCTATGGGTTCCCTCTCTCTATATGTGTTTAGTTCTTTATCCTCCCCACTGCTTGGCACCTTGGAAATTGTCTCTTGACTGAAAGAAGGCCTATTTTGTGTGGCTGAGTAAACAATTTGCTGATTTCAAACCAGCCAGAGGATTAACTCACTCCTGGAGTTAGCATTCCTCATTCACAGCATTGATACTGAAGGAAGATTAAACAAAGAGTACCAAATTCTCTTAAGAATTCAAGAAAACACAACAAATAGGGTGATAGAGCTCTGAATATTTATCCCTAAACAAAACCTGCACTTAAAAAAAAAAAAAACTTTGGTAAAATACTGTACATCAAAATAGTTATTGATAAAATCCAAGAAACTCTTAAGGCAACTTTTTGTACTCCTGTCCTAAACAACTTCATGAATATTAAAAAGGTATAAGGCAAAGAATTCTATAATATATACTGGAAGGCACTGTTACCATGATAACCTCAAGTTCATTTCACTGTCTACTGTTGCATTTATCTTCATTCTTAATATTTCATGAAATTTCCTCACCCCTTTAAGCCAAACTGGGATTTAAAAAAAAAAAGAAAAAAGAAAATACTCTTAACCCATTCTCTTTAAAAATCCACTTTCTGCATGGGGTTTTGCAACTAATACTAGAAAAGTTGAGGATGCTTTGCAAATTAGACAGTGTGGCCTTTGGCCAACTGTCAGGCAAAGGTGGAGGTAGAAAAGGCACGGTTCTAGGCAGGTTGAGGTTTGGGATACGGCAGATAAAACACTCAGACTCTAATGCCCAAAACACAAAGGTCTTTTAAGCAATATTATTCCCTATATGCTACTAAATAGTTCTGTTCTCAAAAGAGATATACTTTTTTGTTTTGCTCATTCATTAGAAGAAATAGTCCCACTTTTTCTCTGCTTAGTGGTTTAAAAGTCCTCATAGCCAGAAGTGTTAAGTTATCCAAACCATGCAGATGTCATAGTTTTATAAAAATCAGAGCTTCAGATAAACATTCTTACTCATCTACCTATAAGACTCCTTTGATCACACACATTACACATACAGCAATGAAAACAAAATGCTACTATAAGTATCATTGGTTATGTAGCTGAGATAAACTATAACAACAAACGAGGTAACAAAGTTGTCTTCAGAGTTTGCCATCTGGCAAACTGAGGTAGATAGTCAGCAAAGGGGCTTTCAAAAGTCTTCCCTTTGCTCCAGTGATATATTTTATATTCCAGTCAAATACCTTGACTGTCCTTTCACATTGCTGACAATGAAACATTCAAATTATGTCAGTTTAAAAATAAAAAAACAAAACACATTCAAAAAAAAAAAAAAAAAGAAAAGCTGAAATACCCAATAAGACATCAAGATTTTCACAAAAGGCTTTGGCTCCCTGTTCATTGTCCTTCGAACAGACTTACAGGTAAGAATACCTGAGCACAGCTGTCTAGATTGGAAGGCCGTTTTTATCAAAGCATTGTGTGGCAGACGGCGGGTGCAGAACTGAAGAGGAAGTCTGCTCAGCATCTATCTGATGGCACCGCCGGGTCTTCACACTTCCTCATCTTGGGATCCCCACCTGAATCACAGCCAGCGAAAGAATCAGATGTCGGGGGTGTGGTACTTATAACTGAGGACAAGTGTATCTCATCATTGGACTCATGGGAGAACCTTCCAGAATCCCCAGTCTCGTGGCTGCCTTCGCTATTTGCCGAGTGCTCAGTATCAGCTGCAACACCAAATGGCCTTGGGAAGCTGGCTGTCTGACCCGGGGAGCTGGGGGAGTCTTCCTCACTGATTAACACAGTAGTGCCCGGCTGGTAAAAGCAGACGGCTTGAGTGAATCTTCTCTGAGGCTAGGCAGAAACAGATAAGATAGCAATGAGATAGCAAACTGAGCAAGTACATGGGCAGAAGGTCATCTAGATAGTGTTTCCCCACAGAGCGACAGGAAACTATCAGAATTACCTGTGGCAAGTGAAGTATCCAAAGCTTCCTCAGTGATTTTCATGCACACTACTGCCCCTGTCGCTTTTCCCCACTGCCCCTGCTCTCCTCTGAAAACCACAGCTCTGATTACTATTCCAACTGAACTTCTAACTACGGCTCTGCATGAAGTCCTTCCACCATGGCTCTCCACAAAGTCATGCCCCAAATTCTTAAAAATCATATCCATAAAGAACACAGAAATTAAAGTGTTAATTTACACTTTCCCCTCTTTTTAATTATCACTTCATATGCCATGGGTTGCCAAAGCTTTTTCTCATTTAGGTGGGTTACCTGCTCAACTTTTATCTTCTTTGAGTCTTGGAAAAAAAGCCATTTTTTCTTAGAGTTGCTTTTAATTATAGGACCATAGCTATTAATTATCAGGTCAGTTCCTCCCTGGGGAAATAAAGAAGGGAAATGTAAATTATTTTGCTATCATAGGTTTTAGTTTATCACATATAGTACATAACATTTTTAAATGTTAAAAGAAAAAAAATGATCACAGACATCACTATTTCTTCTTTTATACAGGCAGCAGACAACACATTCAGGGTATTTGTTAGTGACCAAAATGACATAGTACGGCTGGGTGCGGTGGCTCATGCCTGTAATCCTAGCACTCTGGGAGGCCGAGGCGGGCAGATTGCTCGAAGTCAGGAGTTCAAAACCAGCCTGAGCAAGAGCGACACCCAGTCTCTACTACAAATAGAAAGAAATTAATTGGCCAACTAATATATATAGAAAAAATGAGCCGGGCATGGTGGTGCATGCCTGTAGTCCCAGTTACTCGGGAGGCTGAGGCAGCAGAATTGCTTGAGCCCAGGAGATTGAGGTTGCTGTGAGCTAGGCTGATGTCACGGCACTCACTCTAGCCTGGGCAACAAAGTGAGACGCTGTCTCAAAAAAAAAAAAAAAAAAATGACATAGTAGGTTTATTCTTAAGATACACACACACATACACACACACACACTCTCTCTCTCTGAAGTATTCAGGGAAGTACAATGATTCCAAAACTTATTTTCAAATGGTACAGTACACAAAAAGTTTACATTTTACATATCTCTAGATACGTAAAATTCTGACAAGATATTAACAATTATTTATTTATTTATATATAAATATATTCATTACATTATTCTCTCAACCTTTCTGCATGTTTGACAATTTTAAAAAGCAGGTGGGGAGAAAAAAATGTAACGTGCCCACATACACTCAACAAAATGGCATTATATACAGTATCAGCCCTTAGAAGCTAACCCAAGGGACTTGAGAAAGACATCCTCTAAACTTACTTTTCTCCAACACTTCAGGCCTCTACTCCCCTCTGCCTCCTTTCATTTTAGTTTCTTTTCATTTTTTTTTCCATGTCTTTCTCTCCACTCTTCCTCTCCCCTAGCCTTTCTCATGTCTGCTTTCAAACTAGTATTAATAGAACCACAGGATATTTTAGTACTTTTCATGCTTATTTAAAAGTTTTAGCTTCTAATGTTTTAGCTTAATTTCAAAAACACTGAATAACTTAATCTGTGTTAGAAAGTAAAAGCTAAATTAGGTTGCAAACAAAAAAGACAATAGAAGTAGCAAATATCAATTAATTGTTGTTCGCCCATAATACATATTATATATAGCACTGTGTTAAATATAAGTAGATGGCATCTGTTAAATATAATTATATAAAATTTAATCTCAAAAGTATCTGACATTTTGTTATGTTTTTGTTATTCTAAGTCTTAGGAAAAGGTTGGAGAAAAATAATTTGTAGCAACGTTTAGCAAATTTTTTTCTGTAAAGGGCCAGATAGTAAATATTTTAGGCTTTTCAGGCTATGTATGACCTATGTTACATGTTCTTTTTTTTTTTTTAAACCCTTTAAAAATGTAAAAAAACATTCTTAGCTCAGAGGCGGCCATATAAAATCAGGCTGCAGGCTGGCCTGTAGTTTGCTGACTACCTGGTTTATAGCACATTAGTTATAGGAGCTACTACAATAATGAACAATATCTAGTGTTGCAATGTGACTAAAAAAACTTTAAGATGGTGCTTACTATTGTGCTACTATTACTTATACTAGAAAGGACATAAAGTAACATCCTCCAATGACATTTCTTTACTATATCCAACTTCTTTGGGTCATAAAGGGAAGGATCTTGACGCATCTATTTAGATGTTCCCTATTTCAAAAAAAAGTCATTCATACCTTGGCATAGTCTCATGACCAATTCAGGTCAATAGTCAACCAAAATAAGAACAAAGGGATTAATAAAAAAATGTTTACTCAGTAAACATAGGGCAGCCAAATTATAATAAATACAGACTAATGACTATGCTATCCTTATTTAAGGTATCATTGTTTTATATAATCCCATCTAACTGAATTTATGCTCACTTTTTTCTATAGCTCTTTCATTCTCTATCTTCACCTTTTCTCCCTAAGTATTTTATGTAAGGAAGGAGCTGGGTAAAATTTGTGTATTTCATTAAGAAGAACAGAGATGTAATACATTCAATGTATAATTTTTTTGTTAAGTAAATTTTACACATGATGGGAAGATGAATGGAAGGAAGGATTATGCAGCGAAGCAGTCTCTCAGCTCAGTACCTTTGCATCGATGAAGCTGTTTGGCATTATCATTGGCATTAAGGATTCTTCATTTTCTGCAGCTCCTTCTAGGTTCTTTCCTACCTCATTTCCACTAGCTAAGGAAGCACTGGTACGAGATGACTGTTGAGTTCCATTCTGTGCTGTCTTGGAAGCAGATGATTTCCTGAAATATTGGCAAGAAGAGGAAATCTAATTTCATATAAGATATAGGCAAATGTACCCAATTTAGCGTACAATCACAACTCTGCAAACAATGAAGTTCTTGAATACTCGTTTCTTAAGTATTTTTAGAAATTGTATATTGGATTTTAGCTCCAAATCACTGCAGCAAACTTCTATGATTTGAAAAAGCATCTTAGGGGAAGGCTATGGCCTTAAATTCTTACATCAAAAAGATAGAAAGATCATGAATTAACAGTCTCATGTCACACCTCAAGGAACTAGAAAAAAAGAGCAAAGCAAAGCCAAAGCTAGCAGAAGAAAAGAAATAAGAAAGCTCAGAGCACAATTCAATGAAATAGAAAACAAAAAAATATAAAGAATCAATGAAACAAAAAATTTGTTCTTTGAAAAGATAAACAAAACTGATAGACCATTAGTTACATTAACTAGAAAGAGAAGAGAAAGGACTCACATAAGCTCAATCAGAAATGAAAAAGGAGACATAACAACTGATACCACAGAAATATTAAAAATCATACATAACTACTATGAAAACCTCTACCCACACAAAGTAGAAAACCTAGAGGAAATGGATACATTTTTGGAAATACACAACCTCTCAAGCCCGAGTCAGCAAGAAATAGAAATCCTGAACGGACCAATTACTAGCAGTGAGATTGAAACAAAAAATCTCCCAACAAAATAAAAGCCCCAGACCAGATGGATTCATAGCCTAATTCTATCAGACCTACAAAGAAGAGCTGGCACCCATTCTACTGAAGCCGTTCTATAACGTCAAGAAGGAGTGAACTGGCGGGCGCGGTGGCTCACGCCTGTAATCCTAGCACTCTGGGAGGCTGAGGCGGGTGGATTGCTCAAGGTCAGGAGTTCAAAACCAGCCTGAGTAAGAGCGACACCCCGTCTCTACTATAAATAGAAAGAAATTAATTGGCCAACTAATATTATAGAAATAATGAGCCGGGCATGCGCATGCCTGTAGTCCCAGCTACTCGGGAAGCTGAGGCAGGAGGATCGCTTGAGCCCAGGAGTTTGAGGTTGCTGTGAGCTAGGCTGACGCCATGGCACTCACTCTAGCCTGGGCAACAAAGTGAGACTCTGTCTCAAAAAAAAAAAAAAAAAAAAAAAAAAGACATCTGTACCTGAATGTTTATCACAGCACAATTCACAACTGCAAAGATATGGAATCAATCTAAATGTCCATCAATTGATGAGTGGATAAAGAAAATGTGGTATGTGTGTGTTTAACACACACACACACACACACACACACACAACGGAGTACTACTCAGCCATCAAAAGGAATGAAATAATGCCTTTTGCAGCAACTTGGATGGAACTAGAGAACATTATCTTAAGCGAAGTATCCCAGGAATGGTAAAACAAACACCACATGTTCTCACTAATAAGTGGGTGCTAAATGAGGAGTATACACAGTCATATACTGGTATATGACTGTGTATATAAATGGTGCTGGGAGAACTGGACAGCCACATGCAGAAGAATGAAACAGGATCCCTAGTGGACACTAGAAACTAAGGAGGAGGAGGATGGGAGAGGGATAAAAACATACCTATTGGGTACAATGTACACTACTCTGGTGATAGGCACACTAAAAGCTCTGACATCAGCATTACTGAATTCATCCATGTAACAAAAACACTTGTACCCCTTTAATATTTCGAAATTTAAAAAAAGAAACATATTTTTTTGCCTCAATATCTGCTTAAATAAAATTACTTTCTATAAACAATAATAGTTCCTTATTCCTAATTTGTGCAGAAATTATAATTCTTTAATTTATATTTTCTCCTCCAGGCCCACAGACAGTTACACTAACATAACAATTAACTTGCCAAATTAATGATGGTAAATTTAGAGTAGCACTTCCGCAAGGTTTAGGCATTACTAAAACAATGTGCATAAAGATTTTGTTAAAAATTATTAAAGTGAAAAATCTGGACATTAAAACTAAGCCAGTTCAATATCCACAAGATGTTTAGAACTTTTTCATTAATTTTTTTGAGTATGTTTCTATGCACAAGCATATACAGAGCATATATAGAGTAGACTCCGAAAAATCTATGGTAATGGAGGGAGACTAGTGATGGAGATTACCTAAGAAAAATGTGTATGTGACTTTGATTTTTTTTTCATTCAAAAAAGAATCTTAAGAGTAAATGGAGGCAAAACCCAAAATGTAAAAGGTTAAAAATAGACAAGTTCACTGAGTGGAAGATACTGCTGAAAATTTTGCCAAAGTCAATCCATAGACAAGATAGCCTGACAGAGTTTATAGATAACCCCATCTCTAGTTATTGTATTTGTCTTCATCCTCGTCTGGAGAATCCCAATCATATGTCCTGTGGTGTTCTCAGTGACTCAGGCATTTTAAGGACTGCAACTTAAATATGAAATTTTCTAGACAGCAAGGAATCTTCTCGATAAGCAGATGCATCAGACTAAGTGTGCCATTAAAAAAAAATCCCAATGATACATTTTGTGTTTCTCAAAATACTAAGGAAATGAGGACGCTAGGTCCTCATTTAAGAATATCTTACTGGCACAGTAATTTTTTCAAATAGCAAGAAAATAAGCTCCCTCTAAAACGAGCACATTTCAACAGCTGTAAGAACTCAAGTAACAATACTGTACATTTATTTTAAAGTGGAAAATCCCAGTTACTCTAAAGGCGCTTGATTTCAATTTGTTTCCTGTGGTTACTGTAATTGTTTTTAACTACCTCAACATCTCCAGCAATGGAAACACACCTGGCTTTACTTCGGTATATCAAGATGAGGACACAGATGAGGATGCAGGTCAAAGCTATGCCAACGCCTACAGCAATGCCAGTCATTGATTTTTGATCCAGATGGTAATAGCCTGAATAAACTAGAGGGAAAACACATTTACTCAGAATCAATTAGAAAAATAAGTGATGCCATTTATCATAATTCTCAGATGGATATTTGCTTTTCTGTAATTCTTCCTTATCTCATAGGAGAAGTTTTGACATCAATATCCAAGCAGAAAAGAAACAATCTTTTATTGGTGATTTCAGAGATTGGTTTATCTTCTATTATTAAGGCTTCTAAATACGAGTTTTAGATATCATGATTATATCAAACATGAATATCAGTTCTACTACTCTTCCCCTCTGCCCCATTCTCTTTTTAACACACACAGTTCATAAGTTACGGATAACAGGCACAAAACGTAATTATTCCTTGATGGACCAAAGAACAGTTTTCATGTCATGTTGCCTTAAAAGCAGATCTGTACTCTGAAGATTAGTTTTCCATTTACATACATTAAAGCAGGGCTTCTCAAACTTAATGTGCATATGAATCACTAGGGGATATGAAAAAATGCAAATTCTGATTCACTGAGTCTGGGGTGGGGCCCACGATTCCGCATGTCTAACAAGTTCTCAGGTGATGTCCATGCTGCTGGTCCCTGGGCCACTCTGAGTATGAAGGTATTTGAGAAGCAAATATGAGCCTTGCCTGATGACACTGGGGCTAACTCCTTCTTGTTCTAAATCTACTGCCCTTTCCTTCTCCCCCATTCTCTTTCTAACATGCACTCATACACACACACAGACACACACACACACCAGACACAGAAAGACTGTTCTTTGTGGAGCTAAGAGTCATTAATCCTGTCCTGAGTTCAGCTGACATTTCCTCCATCTAAAACTACCCTCCTCCTCCACAGGCCCACTCCCCTAAAGAGGAGGAAAAGGAGGTGTCTAGTCCTGTACCCCAGGGGCCACCAGCTTTCTTCAGAACAGACTGACAGTTACACTGAGTGAAGGTGGCTCTTTAAAAATATTTTTTTCCTATTGCTTTCCTCCAGAGAGGAAAAAAAAAAAAACCCACTCTCTAGAAAGGCTGTTTTTTCTGTGGTGAAAGCTCTTAATGAAAACCATGCTCTTCTTAACTTAAACACCACAATCACCACTGCTGTTTATTGCCATGAAACCTCCCAGGAAGCTCACTCCCATCAGTGCACGGGTGGTGCGGCTTGTCTGTCTTGGTGGTTGCACAGCTGGGAAAAGAAGTAATTGGGAACACAGTGGTCTGAAAATTGCACTTAATTCTGAGGTAATTTTGCCACTTCTAGAAGTACAGAAAAGAGCCATGTGGCTCCATAACATCAGAACCTCACCAGCAACAATTTAAGGAACCGAGTGTAGGTTTAGGGATGTGGCAATTTTAGGAGCTGAAATAAAGTGTAAGGGAGCTAAATATATATATAAATTTTTTTTTCTTTAAGAAAAATCACAGTGATGGTGGCAGTATACAGACCTTTGGCATCAGCAGAATCTAAACGCTTGGGCCTCTGATTTGATTCAGAAGTCTCCTTTGGAAGTACTGCCAGCTCCACAGAATTTGAAAAGGGTCCTTCTCCCACCTCATTGGATGCAGATATCTTGACAATGTACACATTTCCTGCGACCAGATTTTCTAGCAAAGCCATGGTTATTGCCCCTATAAATACATCAATTACAAATTAAATAGACATTTGTTGTTTATTCTTTTAATTATACATGGTCCTTTTTAAAAATATATATATTTTTCTGATTATAAAGGTGATACATGTTCGTTGTAGAATATTTGGAAAATAAAGATAAATATAAATAAAATTACAATCTCCCATTATCAGCATTTTAGTGTATTCTATTCATGTGTGTGCACATGAATAATATGTGAATATGTATTTACTGCATGTAGTTTTGTTTTGTTTTTTTTTTTTACTCACAACTATATAATTGAGGAAGCATGTATTTTTTATATCTTTCACTTAACATTTTACCATGCACATTTCCCCCACAAAACTCTTCTCTATCATTTTATTTTGGGATTAGTTCTTAAAAGTAGCACACATTTTTGTTTGGTTTATATGTATATATATATATATTTAAAATACATATATTTAACATAGATATGACTACAAATGGCATTAAAACATTTACTACAGAACATTTCAAATATACAAAGAGTATATACATATATATATAATATAAAAAGAGTATATACATATATATAATATACAATGAATCTAGATTCAATAATTTATAACTGGATTTTAAAAAATCCAATGTGAGAGACTTTTTTTTATTAGACACGTTTAAGCCACTTATGGTAACAGCTGTGGCAGGTAATCTTATTCTTCCTTCTTAAATCAGAAACAACACAATTACTTTTGAAAGCACGTGTATGTTTTTCACTGGCCTAATTATTATCTCAGATTTCTTTAAGGTTAAACAGGAAAGAAAATGCAAAGTTATATAGGAACCTCAGAGTGTTGACGACCCAGGTCTCAGATTAACTATCAAAATTACCACCAGCAATCTGCCTAAGCTCTTCTCTCCAAAAGTAATCATTATTTGAATTTAGTTATGATATCTGGTCTCTCAAGGTATTTTCTCTGTTGGCATGACTGCTAAGAAGCAGTCCTATTTGGACACTTGTGTTTCTTGAGGCATCTTTCTGCTCTTGTTCTGCTACCGCACTCAATCATTTATCTTACAAAAGGACTCCGACCCCAGGAATCAATCCTAATGCTAAGACAGCAGGTGTAATAGAAATATAATCAGAAAGTTGTTCCAGCACTGCATTTGTGGATGGATATGCACAGGAAATTCTAGCTTTCCTAGCACTGATTTCATTTCAGTTTTTTCTGACTTAACCTTAGTTTCAAAGAATTTATTATAGTTTATTTATAGCAGTCACCTCCCAGCCAGAGCTGGCTACTCCGGGGCACTTGCTAGAGTGTCCTTCATTATGCAAGTGAAATGTGGGGTGATTTCAGAGCTGAGGTCATGATACAGAGGCTACCTCTGCAGGTCACATGGCATGACACAGCCAAACCTCCAGCAGCAATGCCAGGAGCCAGAACACAGCTTGTTTTCGTGTTCTCTGGTTTCAACTTGGCCCTAAGAGGGTGTGAGCTACTTGAGTACACAACTGTTCAATAAACAAAGTAACCCCTATTTAGAATCAGGAAGAGTCCTTCCACTGTTACCATGTTCTTAGGCAGATGAATTAGAAAACAAAGATGAAAAAAAAAAAAAGAAAACAAAGATGTATTATGATGTGTTACAATGATCTAGAAGGAAGAATATTTCAATGTCTTCACATACAGAGATATAGAGTTTCCACATCACAGAATACATTTAATTATAAAACATACTTGGAAAAATCCAATCACTACCAGAAACTGGAAGTCTTTTCACCTAATTGAAGTTTTGTAAGTGGATCGGCAGCATGTGTGTGCATGTACTCCCTGTCCCCCAACAGAGAGAGTCTTCGTTTAGGGAAAAAAGGAAACCATAACATTCTGGTTCCCATATGGGCACATGCAGAGCATTTTCCCAATGTTACAGTGATCTGTCCAATATTCTCTCACTAGACTGCCTCAATCTCAATTAGTGTGAATATGTCAGTGTCCTGCCTTTTACATGTGTCTGAATATTTAGCTAGACTAGGAATTTCATAAGCAATTTCATAACAGTGTTAGATCAATGTTGATCAAATCCTGACATACTGCCAACTAAGCAATCTTGTGACTTGGGGCATGTTACTGAACTCTACTTTCGCATGGGGGCAATAGTTCCCACTTTGCGTTATTATTATAAGGATTAAATAAATTATCAATGGCAAGTGTGTGACACAAGTGTATATACTCAATAACAGTAAGTTTTCTTTCTCATCTCTGTCTTCTCTTTTTCCTCTTCTGGAGGACAGAAACACATTTCAACACCTTAAGGTGGCTAGCAGAATGCTTTGTACAAGATAATTCTTAGTAAATGTCCATTGAACTCGTTAAAAAGATAAGCAAATAGCTTATATTTATATTATATATATATATTTATATCACAGATAGTGACAGATTTCGAGGCTGGAGAAGTACCCCAAGGTACAGTCTCAGACGTTTCTCTCTTCTGTCCACATGTTTTAAATGATCTTTCCTCCCAGTTGTACAGCCGTAAGTATCATCTACACACTGATAAATGATTTATATCTCTAGTCCATACCTCTCTCATGAACTTAACCCTCCCACTGCTTAATCAGCCTCTTTACCTGGACATTCAAAAGACATCTCCAATTTAACATGTTCAAAAGCAAACCACTTATCTCCCCCACTGACTTAGCTTCTCTTTTTTTCTTACACTACACATCAATTTACAAGCAAATCTGACAGGCTCTTCTTCCAAATTATGTTCCAATAACTTACTACCATCACCACTAGCACCCTGGTCCAAACCTTCATCAACTCTAACGTGGACACTTGCCTATTAAATGGTCTCCAAACTTCCACTCTTACCTTCTTATAATTCATTTTTTGGGGTTGGCAGAGCAATCCTTTTTAAATGTCAATCTGGTAAAAAGTCTTCAATATCTTCTATCTCAGAATAAAATCTACAGCTCACAAAGTCTAGTCTACAAGATCTGCCCTTTGTTACCTCTCTACCTCATTTCTTACTGCCTTCTCTTCCCCTCACTCTAGCCTCCCTGGCCTTCTTCTTGTTCTTTTAACATGCCAAACACACTTCTGCCATGGGGCCTTTGCACTTCTCCCAGATATCCACAGGGCTGTGTTCAGTGTTATTTCTTCCGAGAGAACTTATTTTGCAACCTCCATCACTTTGCTTCTTTTCCCTATTGTAGCTTTCTTTAAAGCATTTATGACACCACCTGAAAATGTATATATATTTCAGTTTGTGCAAACTTTAGTGGGGGCGAGGACTTTGTTTTGTTCACTGTGGTACTGCAGTGCCCTGTACAGGGCCTGACACATAGTAATCACTCAATAAGAATTAGTTTAATAAATGAATATGTTTCTACTATTGGTAGTCCAATTCATTTGGCAAATACTGAGTTAAATGGATTTCTTTATTGTGGGACTTTCAATTTTTTTTGTTTTATATTTTTAAATAAATTTTATTTTTCTTCTTTTTTAACCAATGAAAGTATGTGTTTTGCTGAATGGACTTCTAATTTTTGATGTGAATCTCTAACAGAAAAAAATGGTATATGGTATTTCTCAAACGTATTTAATCATGGAAAAAATTTTTTTGAAGGAGGGGCATCTTTATGATCTCAGAAAACTCATAAAGAACAGAGTTCAGGAATTGCTGAGGTAGAGCATGATTTCCTCCAGCGCCTTTTAGATCTGAAAATAATTGAGTAGCTTGTGCTGATTTACTGCATACCAGGAAGGTAAAGACTGTAATTTCTGATCCACTTTAAATTACACACAAGTATAATTTCATATTACATTTCTGCTCAACCATTCGACCATGTACCATTTCAGCCATAAATATCATATGCTCACCAAAAGCATTTTTAAATGTTTTGATTCATGAAAAAAATCTTGTTCAATTTGGGATTAAATTTTGAATTAAATATATATGTAAATATGTATACAACTAATATGTATAGAAGACTAATAGATATATGGGAAAGAGAAATTGACATTTCCTCTCCTTTTTGCCTCTTTTTCTACATCATTACCTTTCCAAAAGGTGCCATAATTAGACATAAAAGACAATTTTAGTTTTCCTTTAAATGCAATGTTATATTCCTTCTTTTTGTTTACATGTAAGTCCAACTCTATATTTTTCTCTCTCAAAAAAGTAAACTTAATTGCTTTTTACACACATTGTTTATTTGTTCTCTATAAGTCACCAGCATTAGCCATGAAAAAAGTTCTCTAAATTTAACAAATGACAAAAGCTTTTCACGAATAATGTTTCTTAAAATTGCACCAAGAAACATACAGATTTTTTTCACTGTACATTACTGTACAGTTAGAAAAGCTTACATAGATGTAAAAATCTGCCATTGTAATTCATGTCACTACCGAGCTGTCAATAAGGCAAAATATTATTTTCTGAGCTCTGTCTCAAAATGACAAATGAACATATTTAAAAGGAGTCAAAACAAATCTATATTGCTTCTTTTCAGGCAGGTACAAATAATGAACTAAAAGAAGTATGTGCTCATGCTATCAAAAATCTTTATTAACGCTTATAACACCTCATTAAGTCAGGTTAGTCATGTGGTTAAGCATTGTGTCAATAAATCATTTTGGAATTGCATAACTGAAATTGAATTACACATTTTGAGAATACTGTGGTAGACTGTAACACTAAGCGCCCCCAGTGAATCACACCTCCATCTATTCAGATCCTTGGGTAGCCCATTCCACACTGGCTCTGGGCTTGGCCACGTGACTTGCTCTGCCTGATCAGACACTAGCACGTGTGATGCAAGCAGAGGCTTGTAAAGCTTCGTACGTGGGGCTTCTTCCCCCTCTTCCTGATTCTGGAACCCTGTCCTGCTGTTTTTAGACTACTGAGACCCTGTCAAAACTGTAACATGGCTGCAGCCTCATGAGAGACCAACAGAAGAACTGCCAAACTGATCTCAGTACAAATTGCTCACGCAAGGAATGATAAAAAAAATAGTTGTTTTACGTTTTAGAGTAGTTAGGCAGCAACAGATAAGTGATATAAATACAAAATCGTATTGCTGTCAAGTACTTATTATCAAATCTCTTCAGTGACCAGAAAATCATTTCTTAGTGGGGCTTCTGCTTAATGAAAAATATGAATATATAATTATCAAAACTTCAGCAAAAGTTACTATTTGCTTATTTTATAACTGCATAGAGTTTTATATTCCATGCACCTAAATAGCCTTTAAAGTTTATCTTCTTAATTGGGTAAATATTACTCTTGAAAGGTAAAACGTATATGGAAGTAGCTAGTACTATACAGTGATCGACAAATTTCCTTCCTGAAACCCTTCTTAAAGCTTTTTATTGCTTGGCAAACTATTCTTTTCCCATCATGTATGTCTGAATCAAAGAAGTGCCAAGATAATGAAGTTTTACTATTTATGTGATGGCTCATCTAAAAACTGGCATATGGGACTTGTCCAAATGAAAGATTCCAGATCTAGAAAAGGATGTAATGATTAAAGCATGCAATAAGAATGTTAAGAATTTTATAATTCAGTTTTTCTCAGCTAAAAAAAATTACTGTTAAAGAAATTAAATTTCGGGGCATGAGGGAGCTGGGTACAGTGGCTTATGCCTGGAATCCTAGGACTTTGGGAGCCTGAGGTGGGAGGACTGTTTGAGCCCATGAGTTTGAGACCAGCCTGGGCAACAGCAAGACCCCATCTCTACAAAAAAAATTAAAAATTGCATGGGCATGGTGGTGTGCACCTATAGTTTCAGGTACTCGGGAGGCTGAGACAGGAGGATCAGTTGAGCCCAGGAGTTTGAGGTTGCAGTGAGCTATGATCATACTGCTATACTCTATATATAGCCTGGGCTATACTCTAGCCCAGGTGACAGAGTGAGACCCTGCCTCAAAATAAAGAAAGAAAAGAAAAAAGAGAAGAGAAAAACTCAGTGTTCTTAAGCCCTGATCAGCTTTTCCCTGTATTTAAGAGGACCCTAAAACTCATATGGGTCAATTTATTTCATGTGGATCATTTTAGTAGCAGTACAAAGGTCTTCTCCTTTAAGCTAGATTTTCTTCCAATGTTTCCTACCGCCATGCAAGACACACCACCACCAGAAACCTAATAATCATCCATAAAAATTCTCCCTCTCTTATTCCTCCCCGCCTATCATCCAAGCTATCACGTCCTATTGATTCTACCGCCTCAGTATCTTTCAAATATCCTTTCCTTTCCATTGCAATCCTCACCATCCTAGTTCAGGCTTATCATCTCTTTCCTGGACCACTACAATTACTTCCTAACTAGTCCCTTTATATTACTCTTACTTCCATTTGTCCTCAATAAAACCTCTCCTTTGACAAGAGTAAGAGCGATCTTTCAGAAACATGAATCATTCTTAAAATTGGCTGATGGCTTCCCAGTGCTCTTTGAATAAAACCAAAATTTTAAATTATTTATTACTTCATACCTAAAAATATAAACTCAAAACAAACTCTAGATTCCTCTTTCCTTTTGTTTATGCAACACTAATAATCTTACTTCCCATCCTCCTTGGTGATTTATGATCACATTTACCTTCTCGGTGTAGGACCTGCCACTCTCCCGCAATCCAAGCCTTCCGGGATGCATACAGGATGGTATATCGCGTCACAACCGTCTCTGGGCCGTCGGGGGGTTTCCAAGAAACCAGAGCAGTGTCATCCTCTATCAGTGTCACTTTTACTCCAACTGGTGGGCCTGCTGGTGCTGTGCACACATGTGAAAAAACATTGTATTGCTAACATAAAATGCATCATAAACACTCAAATACCTGGCTCACATGCTTAGAAAAGATTATGAAAAACTAGAAACCACTATTATTAAAATCTAAAAATCACAGCTTTTAAGATCATTACCGTGTTTCCCCCGAAAATAAGACAGGGTCTTATATTTATTTTTCCTCAAGAAGACACCCTAGGGATTATTTTCAGGGGATGTGTTATTTATTTTTTTTTAAGTACGGTACAACGATCTACATTTATTCAAATAGAGTTAAGTCGTCTTCTTCTGGAACATCATCATAACTCTCCAAACCCCGAATTCCATCCTGAATTTCTTGCAACTCTATTTCCTTTAGAACCATTGGCCCCAATCTCTCATGTAGAGCAATAGAGCTCTCATGGGGCAGAAGAGAAGGGCTGCTCATCTTCTTTACCGCTCCATGACAAAATGCATGGGTTGTCCAGATATGCTGCCCATCACTAGGTCTTATTTTCAGGGTAGGGTAAGCCCCTTATACTGGGCAAATGGTTAGAAATTCTGTTGGGGCTTATTTTATGGGTAGGTCTTATTTTCGGGGAAACACGGTAGCAATAATAGTAAAGTACTATTTTTTATTCTTTTTTCTGAAAGTTAATTTCATTTTTGTAGTATTTAAAACATTAAAAAACATAAAGAAGATGATAGATTCCTAGGCTGGGAATTACTAAGTCAAAGAGATAGCATTTAAAATAAAGGGCTCTTGAAACGTTCTGCTAAACTGCTAACTAGAAAGGTTTACAGTTTCACCAGTAGTACCTGTCCTTCAGACACTGAGTTTTACCTCGTAAGTACTGAATCTAAATTACAACCCTTACTAAAATGTATAGAGAACACTCACTTAACCTGATCTAGGAGGCCACTAAAGAAGACGCTTCTGAGACCAAAACATTTAGTTATTCCCTGAAAAGCAGTAAATCAATGAGTTAATATGGCAGATTTAAGCCTAATAATTTATATTAAATATCTGTGAAAAGTAGTGAAATCTTGCAATTTTAGTTGACTCCATGTTTAATAAGAGCTAAAAGTCTGAAGAGCTGGTTTCTGGTGTCACATCTCATACGGAGTATTGCTAAAACCACAGCAAAGCAGCTTTATGTTCGCTTACATCAGTGTCTCTTGCTTTCTCTCAGTATAATTAAAATAGAGCAGGCATGATCCCTATAGATTTTCTAGTCCTTTACCCCCCATTTTAGAGATAAGAGAATGCAGGCAGGGGTCCTCAAACTTTTTAAACAGGGGGCCAGTTCGCTGTCCCTCAGACCGTTGGAGGGCCATTGGAGAGTGCGGCGCACATTCCACACATGCGCGCTGTGGGCCCCGGACGAGTCGGCTGCTAAGCAGGACAGGCAGCGGCGGCAAAAACACCCGGTGGGCCTGATAAATGTCCTCGGTGGGCCGCATGTGGCCTGGGGCCGTAGAGTTTGAGGACTGCTGGTAGAGACTAAAAATACTTTAGCCATAAGTAAGCTACTGAATTGGTACCCAATCAGATATGTACACTGTGCTGTACACAGAAATGAGTTCTAACGTGGCCTCATAAGATCATTAACAAATACATTATTCACTTATTTCTATTTAAAATTATTTAGGTGCAGCATACCTGATTGGAAAATAAGTCTTCCCTAAAGGGGCACTAAATTTAAGCCCAGTTGCTTGTGGAAAATATACATTTGGAAGAATATATAAAAGAAAAATAGAATATATAAAAAATAGAATATATAAAAGAAAATATATATAAAAGAAAAAGAAATTCCAAAAAGTAAGAAATAAAACAAATATATACACATCAACTGGTAGGTGGCACCCCAGGCAGTGTCCTCCTCAAAATGACATATATATTTTTTAAGCATTTCCTTAAATTTTTTTTTTTTTTTTTTTTTGAGACAGAGTCTCACTTTGTTGCCCAGGCTAGAGTGAGTGGCGTGGCATCAGCCTAGCTCACAGCAACCTCAAACTCCTGGGCTCAAGCGAACCTGCTGCCTCAGCCTCCCAAGTAGCTGGGACTACAGGCATGCGCCACCATGCCCGGCTAATTTTTTCTATATATTAGTTGGCCAACTAATTTCCTATTTATAGTAGAGATGGGGGTCTCGCTTCTTCTCAGGCTGGTTTCGAACTCCTGACCTTGAGTGATCCTCCTGCCTCAGCCTCCCAGAGTGCTGGGATTACAGGCGTGAGCCACCGCGCTCGGCCCTTAAAATTTTTTTTTAAAGATAAAAACCCATAGAGGTGCTGCTTTGTTTACCTTCTGGAAGTGTAGAATGGTAGACTACAGGGCTCCAGGGACTGGAAAGCTGATCCACATGTAATCGAACAGCAAATTCATATTTGGTGTTGGGTTCTAGACCTTGAACCAACATGTGAGTTTCTGATCTATAAGAATGAGTAATAAAGTTGTTAATGCTGGTAGCATATTGTATCTAAATGATTGTCAGTATTTCCAACCAATAGGTAGGGCATAATATTATTCACTAGCTCCCCATTTTCTTTAAAAAATTTTTTTAGACTGAAAGAGCAATCTATGTAACAAAAACACTTGTACCCCCCTTAGTATTTTGAAATAAAAAAGATCAATCTAATCTGATTATTAAAATATATTTAACACATTAACTGCCATGTGGGTTGTATTTAACTCATATTAGTTATGAGCCCAGGGCCTCGTGAAGCATATGTGACTCACATGTCTCTTCACTTTGGGGGCTGTGGGAACTATTTTTCAAGTTGCATATAACTCATGCACAGAAAACAATGAAAAATAACAATTTTTTCATTACATTAGAAAGGATCATATTGTTTTTGCAGTTTTTATTCTATTTTCATAATAAAACACGTGGCCCCAAGGAAAAATTTTTTTTCTAGTGTGGCAGTCAATGTGTTAATATTATCCTATAGAAATAAGCCTGTAAGTTACCTCTGAGAGGAAACTAGAAAATTAAGAGTATGGAAATGTCCCAAAACAAAGAGATTTTCTTTGAAATATTGGAAGTCAAAGCATTCTTTTAAAGCATAGTCATAGGCATCTTTCTAACTCCAACCTAGAAAATGGAATGACAGCTATCCCTACTTTTTGATGCCAGAATGAAAATGGTCTTTTGCTAGCTAAGTTTAGCCACTTGAAAACAATCATAGCTTCTTGCCTAATCTTGTTGCACGAGGCTGGGAAAATTTTAAAAAATCACTTATGTAAATTAAATGTCAAAAAGTGCAGCTTTCAGAACTGAATATAGTAAGGATGTAAACCTCCCATCCATTTTATAAGAAAGATAAGTCTTGAAACAAATGCTTAGTACCGAAGCCCACGCCAGGCCCAGGATGGTAAGAAGTTAAGTATGAGTAGGGAGGAAAAGCAAAGAAAACAACCATTAATAGAGGCTACATACGTTTGAAGGTACAGAACCAAAGAAGCATTCTGCAGGCCGACAGGGTTACAGCGGATGGTGTAGTTAATGATTTGTGCAGTGGTGAACGCAGGCCTCCTCCAATGCAGGAAGATGGAAGATGAGGTGTTAGCCTTCGCATAGAGATGGTGGGGTGGTGGTGGAGGGGGGACCATGCGATCACGAACAGCTATTGAAAAAGACAGTGTTAATTTACCGCACAACATAACATTTAATGTAGAAAGTAGTAAAATGGCAAAATCATCATACCCTACCCTACAAGCAGATGTTAAGTTTTTCTTCCACCAGAGACTCATGTTTGTCTAGAAATATATCATCCAGACCTAAACAACTCTCCATGAGTTAGATAAGGAGTCAAATATAATCACGAGTCACTTAACAACAGGGATATATTCATGGGATATATTCAGGAAATGCGTCATTAGGCAATTTTGTCATTGTGTGAACATCACCGTGGTCCCCAGTCTTTTTGGCACCAGGGACGAGTTTCATGAAAGACAATTTTTCCATGAACCAGGAGTCAGAGGGGGTGGGGTGTCATGGGTGGGTGGGTATTGGTATGGAGCTCAGATGGTCATGCACAGCCGGTTTCCTAATAGGCCATGGCCTGGGGGTGGGGGACCACAGTTAGAGTATAATTACACAGACCTAGATGGTATAGATTACTTACTACACACCTAGGCTATATGGTACAGCCTATTGCTCCTAGGCTACACACCTGGACAGCATGCTACTATACCAAATACTGCAGCAACTGTAACACAATGTTAAGTATTGGCATATCTAAACATAGAAAAGATAATGTGCTGCTTTATGAGGTTATGACAGCAGCATCACTAGGTGATGGGAATTTTTCAGGCCCATTATAATTTTAGGAGGCCACCATTATATATGTGGTCTCTTTTTGACCAAAACATTGTTATGTAGCACGTGACTGCACTATTAACACTTAACACATCGGAAAACAGAAGCACAGAGAAGTCAAATGATTAGCCAAAGACATTCAGAAAACCAGCAGTAGACTTAAGGCTAGAACAACGTCCTCTTTAGTAGCAGTAAAACTGAACATCGATTGGAGACAACTAGCCTCAAGATGAAAACAGATGAAAGAAAATAGATCATAATATTATCTATAGTTATTCAGTGGTTATTTTCCCCAGTTAAATTTCTAATGGCCTTTTACATGTAAAATTAAAATAGGCACTCATAATTTGATATATCTCACTTAAAATATTTGCTGAGCGCACCTATGTGTTCAAGACACCCTGCTAGGCAGCATGGAGGATATGAAGCAATTAGACCACCAAGACTTCCGAGTAGTAATGAGAAATTTAAAGAAGAGGGGGAGAAAAAGGACCGTGGGCTGTAGTGAAATAAACTCCCGTGACTCTCACTTACACACGCATCCCGGCGTGCTGACAGTCTGATCCGCCTGATAGCCATCTTCTATGTTATTGTAAGCCAGCAGCCTCACGTGGTATTTTCTTCTGGGATCTATAAAGAAACCAACAGGTAATTTTTAGGACCAGGCCTCTAGATCTGAGCAAAGGATGGAGCCTCTCTAGATTTTGGTTTAACAACCTTCCTGAATGCATACAAGTTCTAAGTAAAACTAAATTTTTCTTTTTCTATATTACACAATGACTCAGCAATTTACCTTAGCATTATAATCACACTACTATTGTGACTATCTACTAATTATTTACAATTTCATTTTACTTAACCTAATTTCAAACAATAACACTACCACAACCACTCCTCTTCCTCCTTAAATGGCCAGTTGGATTCTTGGTTTTAAAAGCCTTAGATTTTGGTGGATAAAAGATCTTGATGGATCTTTTATGAGAAGTTTTTTTGTTTAGGCAGTTATACTTGAGGGTAGTTTACTTAAAAGCATGGAAATCAAAGTGAGATTGTTTTCTCCATCAAAGTTAAGGAAAATTACAATTGTCATTCTTTAGTACCTTTGAACATTTATATAATCATGTGCTGTTTTAACTGTGTCCTTTCTACAAATCTACATTTTAAGTTGAGAGCTAAATTCACTAAGAAAGATGAATTGGGGCTCCCTCTACTGGTGTTCATTAACTATCACAATACTAAAACTAAAGTCCATAAACAGGCACCTTACAACAATTTTCTCAGGGCTTTGAGGAAATACATGCTTATAAATTTTAACTGATATCCTTTTAAAAATTTCCATAAGTTTAATAATATAAACACATTTAAAGTTAACTGTTTACGATGACATTTAACTACAGAATATTTGCTTAGGGCAAAAAAAAAATACTATTCAAAAAATAACATAATTCTGTTATATTTCTCTAAATAACAAAACTCACAAAAAATTTCAATATTTTATAAGGGAAAATAATCACCCTTTACAGATATACCTGATATGGAAAAAGACGTGAAATTAAAGAATAAAAATAATCCTAGACTGAATTACAACATTTAAAAAAATCCAAAAATAAAATGTGAAATTTATGAAACTCTCCAAAGTTATTTAAGAGTTTATGAAAATATTTTAGAAACTTATAAATCAAATGCAATAAAAGATGTCATTAAATATTAAATTTTCATTTCCATTAGTTTTGACAAAATTAAAATGCAAGAAGAAAATTTTCTACAACTTAGAAAATTCCTGTGCTGTCTAGATAGATAGGAAGAATGAAGTAACATTTGACTATCCTATAGAAAATGTCTTTCAGATACATTATCTTATTTGACTATCACAAAACTCTACAAGGTATATGTTCTTCCCATTTTATAAGCTACGGTACAAAGGTGTTAAGGAGAACATCAGTGCCACACAAAGCTAAACTAAGAACCAAGAACTAATGGTATTTCCATGACAAAACACAGGGCCTCTAATTTTACACAAACACATGTGCCTGTATCACAAGTTAAGTTTGTCTCCTTATGATAAATTTTAAAATAGAGACATTTTCAAACATTTTATGAATGAAATTATCAAAAAACACAGACACACATTTGGATTTCATAACTCAAATGATTTCCTACACTGAAATTCTAGGATTCAAAAGGTTTTGGTTCATATTAATGGCTGTTTAATTTGAATATTTTTTCTTTCTTTACTCCTAACATATTGCTAAACACATCAGTCAATTGAATTCTGAGTTCAGTATTACCAATGCTCCCTTGGGATGGGTACAAATGGAATTCAATTGGCTTTTTGCATTACAGTTCTTTATAAATTCATAGTGCAACTTTGAAAAATATTTCTTTATTCTGTCTCTACTCAATTAGAAGAGTGTCTTTAGGAAAGCCTCTTGAATGCAACTTATTGTGCTAGAAATACAGCAGATACAGAAGAGGAAGGAAAGGACAGATTTACTCTCAAAGTAGCTCATGTTCTTAGGGCGCCAGACATGGATACAGCTATTTCTCATAGAAAGCTAATTTTGATGAGGGTTTTGAGTATAGGGAGGAGATTAATCTTTCTCTATTGTGCAAACAACATCAACACTGCATGAAGACTTCTTTGGAATAGTTACTTTTTAAAAAAATTTTTTTTTCATTTCAGCATATTACGGGGGTACAGATGCTTAGGTTACGTATATTGCCTTTGCTCCACCTGAGTCAGAGCTTCAAGTGTGTCCATCCCCCCGATGGTGCCCACCGCACCCATTAAGTGTGTATATACCCCTCCCATCTGCCCGGCACCTGATGAATGTTATTACTATACATATTCAGCACTTAAGTGTTGATCAGTTAATACCAATTTGATGTTGAGTACATGTGGTGCTTGTTTTTCCATCCTTGTGATACTTCACTTAGTAGAATGGGCTCCAGCTCTATCCAGGCTAACACAAGAGGTGCTGTATCACCATTGTTTTTGTGGCTGAGTAGAACTCCATGGTGCATGTATACAACATTTTATTAATCCACTCATGTACTGATGGGCACTTGGGTTGTTTCCACATCTTTGTAATTGTGAATTGTGCTGCTGGAATAGTTGCTTTTTGTTAGTAATAAAATGGGTTCTCCAAGTTTTTCTTTCTTCTTCCTTAGAAAATGAACTTCTTATAAAAATGGTAAACCCAGCATTAAAGGTTTTTTTTTCTGGTTGATCAGACTGGAACAGCTTATGTGTCCCAATGAGAGAACATAGTTGTTCCTTTAATGCCCACAGCACCTGGCTTCTGCCCACTCAGGGCAGGGTCAAACGAGGCCCATGTGAGGAGGAGCAGCTCTTCTGAGGCCCATCTGGAAATCAACCAAGTTATCAGAGAGTGATCATCTCAAGTACCAGGTTCCTTCCCATGCTAGTTTACCTGAGGTCACAAAAAGGCAAACCACCAAGCGGCAAAAATTAAGCACACTGGGTGTACAAGATCTTTTGTATCCAAACAGAAAAGGTAAAAACAAGAACCGGAATAATTTTTGAAATTATTTTAGTATAAAAAATAAAATTATAGGACATATTACATGGAAAAAATAATTTAAAGGTGAGAGAAAACACGTTTGAATTTATTCATATGTGATTTACTCTTTATGCCCTATGAAGAACCTCAGTTTAAAAAATAAAAAGTGCCAGGCTAGGGGCAAAGCTGAGCAATGACCCAGGTGGATTTGCCACGTGCTCCTCTTTAGCTTTAAAAAATTTGACTCCGGACTCAAAATTTAATCATTACATTATTTTGGTTTGTTAATCCAGAGACCCTGGGACAACCTGCCTCATTCTTATTCATTGTATTTGTTAGAAATCTGACTTCATGCCGGGTGCGGTGGCTCACGTCTGTAATCCTAGCTCTCTGGGAGGCCGAGGTGGGCGGATCGTTTGAGCTCAGGAGTTCAAAACCAGCCTGAGCAAGAGCGAGATCCCATCTCTACTATAAATAGAAACAAATTAATTGGCAAACTAACATATACAGAAAAAATTAGCCGGGCATGGTGGCACATGCCTGTAGTCCCAGCTACTCGGGAGGCTGAGGCAGGAGGATCACTTGAGCCTAGGAGTTTGAGGTTGCTGTGAGCCAGGCTGACGCCACGGCACTCACTCTAGCCTGGGGCAACAAAGCGAGACTCTGTCTCAAAAAAAAAAAAAAGACATCTGACTTCATGTACTGTTTGTAAATTTAAGAGAGCAACCAAGGACTAGAGCCCTCAAATAATGTTAAGATGAAGATTACCAGGCAAGAAGAGTGATCAGCTAAAAGAGAAAACAGAGGAACAGCTATATAATTAACAGAATTAAGGATAAAGAGTAAAAAATCAAGAATTTTAGGAGCAATGTACTATGTACAGGTAAATGTACAAAGAATGAACCTCAGCATAAGTAGCACATGTCCTAAAACTTCCCTATTCTACAAAGATCCTGTGGTGCTTGAGGGACAGAGAGGATCAACAGTGAAATGCCACAGGGAACCAGTTCCCAGGGCCTGCTACAGTCTTTCTTGAGTCAAGCACTGCCACGTATGTGGTGCTTGGTTACAGGAGACTCAGCAGACTTAGGCTATGCGGTTTGAGGGGAAAACAGCAGAGTCAGGAAGAGCAGCCACAAGGAATAGTGCAGGCCTCTCAAAACCCACTGAGGGAAGGAGGGGAAAGGGAGAGTGCGGGAGAGAGTTGGTTCCATTTCCTTCAAAACTCAACACACAGGGCATACAAATCACTCCTCAATTCTTAACCATCTTTGGGGTGATGGCTCAAATAGGTAATATTTGGATTTAGAGTTAAACTTGCTTAAAGATTTAGCAATACATAAAGATGAAGGGTCAGGAAAGAAAGCTCAAATTAATTTAACACAAATTTGACCCTAAAACATTTTGATTCCTAACCATTCAGCTCTGGAGCGCCAGCTTACATTAAAGTGACCACGGTCCCTAGACAAATGGACTTGTCATTTCTTTATGAGAGAGTCAACCTTCGGCCAAAAAATGATCCCCTTCCTGACACACTGCTATGGCTATACCCTGTATATTTTCTCCACTAGCTCTAGGACTTGTCTCACTCTCCTTTCTTTCTGATTCATTCTAATCACCTGCTCTTCTACTTGATTATTAGTCCCATAAGAAAGAGTCAGAATTGTATGTGTGGCTGTCTAAAAAAAAAAAAAACCCTCACAAGTATCAAATATGTTTACCAAGTGCCTACCAAAAGTTGTATGAAAGACTTAAGGATCAGAAAGACACAAATTTTGTCTTTAATTTCAATCTACCAAAGGAGACAGACTGACAAATGAACATTCTGTACATAAGTATTATTTATTAATTGTATAGACTTGAGCAAGTTTCTTACTTTTCTGAACCTCATTTATTTTTATTTGGAAGATAGAGATATAATAGGACCTCCCTTACAGGGATTTTAAGAATATTAAATGAAACCATGTCTACTAAATACTTTGTGCAGTTGCCATAATTAGTAAATACAAAATACTACATTGTCCAGAATATCAGCAAATTAGCAAATAGCAACTAGCAAATACTGAGGCTGAGCTCTAAGCACATTAATATTCCTCATTAATATTC